CTCTCTCTCTCTCTCTCTCTCTCTCTCTCTCTCTCTCTCTCTCTCTCTCTCTCTCTCTCACACACACACACACTACTTTTCTACAGCAGTCCGTGTCCACGGCTCCCTCCACTTTCTGCTGCTCCCGCTCTACGCGCACAACCCTGGAACCTTTCCACTCTAACACAGGTGAGCACACTGCCCAACACAACTTACTCCCCTGAGCTAGCTGACATTCCTCTCTACAGTATCCTTGCCCTTACAAGGTCTTACAAACTGACACTCTAAGCTCAGGGAGTAACAGGAGAACCATTAAACTAATAACTCCTGTATAGCCTGCAGCTTGTGGGACACATGCAGCCCAAGATAGCTCTGAATTTGCCCCAACACAAAAACTGTAATTTACATAAGCATTATGAGATTTTTCTTTATTAACTCAATTGCAAAGTTCTAGAGTATGACCTTTGTAAATGACCAGGTTGTGTCAATACTGAAAGGTTGGACGTGTCCCAGTGAATGAGGGCTTCTCTAGTACTAAGTACTCAGACTAGCCATTGCCCAATGGGCTTTACATATCTTATCCTAAGTGCCCTTACTGCAATCACAAGATAAACACTATTATTCTCATTTCACAGGTAAAGCAAACAAACAACAAAAAGACTAGATTTAGAAAAGTAAACTTTCGGGCTGGAGAGGTGGCTCAGAGGTTAGGAGCACTGACTGCTCTTCTAGAGGTCCTGAGTTCAATTCCCAGCAACCACATGGTGGCTCACAACCATCTGTAATGAGATCTGGTGCCCTCTCCTGACCTAAAGGATATATGTAGACAGAATACTGTATACATAATAAATAAATAAACAAACAAACAAACTTTCAGTCACACAATGGTGGTGCACACCTTTAATCCCAGCACTCAGGAGGCAAAGGCAGGTGGATCCCTGTGAGTTTAAGGCCAGCCTGGTCTACAGAGCAAGTTCTAGAACAGGTAAGGCTACAAAGAGAAATTCTAACTTGAAAAACAAAAAACCAGAAGAAGAGGAGGAGGAGGAGGAGGAGGAGGAGGAGGAGGAGGAGGAGGAGGAGGAAGAAGAAGAAGAAGAAGAAGAAGAAGAAGAAGAAGAAGAAGAAGAAGAAGAAGAAGAAGAAGAAGAAGAAGAAGAAGAAAGGAAGAAAAGCAAACCCAAGACCCTCCCGCAGTGGTTTAAGGTTTCAGGTCCACAACTGAAGCCCCCAACTTGGAACCTGTAATGCTGAATCATGAAAAAGAATGAAGTCACAGAAAGAGTCAAGTATTGGGGGGGGGATTTAAGAATACAAATAAACAATTAGAGAGAGAAAAGGTCACCCAATCTAACTGTAAGGAATCTCACAGCAAAGTTAAAATTAGAACTACAAACTCCTACAGCTTTTTTGTTATCTTTTGAAGTAAAAATCATGCAAGGCAACACAAAGTGGAATGCAGCGCCGATACCTAGCAGAGACTATCACTGGCTGACTGCAGGATCCTAGGCGAGTTGTTTAATACTAGAGCACTTTAGCTCACAGGAAAGGGAGGAAATGCTTGAAAATACCTATCTTCAGGAAATGCTAAAACGGTGACAGAAACACATATTCCAAAGTTTGCAACATCCAATAAATTTTAGCCCATTTTTGAAGATCAGTTGTAAAAGTGTCATTTTCAAAAATGAAGAATTAACTTCTTTATATTAAAAATGGCTCTAGGAGAGCCAGTCAAAGCTCACTGTCACCCTTCTTCCCTGCATCTCCTACTGCAGAGGCTGAGGATCGGGTCACTGGTCCACATTTGACACCCCAGTAGCTGAGTTTCACTGTAACCTATTGCCTCAGTGTTGAGATCAGGCTGTGCCCTGTCCTGTTAGTCCATGTTGTTCAACAGTGGGTTTCTAATCTGTGGCCTGCCTAAGAAATTCCCCAATTTTACTAGCAGCAATTAACTCCGTTTTGTGGATGGAGGATGACTGTACCTTGGTGGGCATGTAAAACGACAATGTGTCCAGCACCACCAACCAGCACAGTCTGATACATAACTTATTCCTCAAGTAGGAAGGGTACCACCCCAGAAATTTACCTAAGTAAATTAGACTATGGCAACACTTGTGTGGATTTGAGTCTTACTAGGAAACACAGGAGTTTATAAACACCCAGAAAGGCACTGAGAAGAGAGCACAACTCTCTCACCTGAACTTCATAAAGAGGAAGACACCTAACTCTGTAATGTCTGACTACTGTGTGTGCGCGCACGCTCACGTATGTGTGTGTGTGTGTTTCTCTAAGAAAGAAAGCTTACTCCATGATGTATGATGTGTGATCTGAGAGTAAACATTAGTAATTCAGATTGCAATGAGAGAACCTGTGTTTGTCCTGGCCAGCTGCTGCCAATAAACCACTGTACAATGTGAACCTGCTCTTCTCCAGTCAGCTGACGTGTAGGAAGGGGCTTGCCTATGTCTCTGACACAGTGCACTTAGCAAGACTTACCTTTAAACGAGGGCCCATGTTCTGAGAGCCAAGTCATTCACCAAAGCAGGTAACTTTTACTCCTTTCACTTGCCTTCTAACTTGTACAAGGAAAAAAAAAAAAAAAAGCCAAACAGTCACCAGAAAGGACCAGTCCAGAAGGTGTTCATTGAGGTTATGTGTGTCCCAGTAAGCAAAGAGTCAGGATTCTGCATTGAAGCGGTTGAATTCTGAGGTGAAAAAATACAAGGCAAGAATGTATCATCCCTGGATGTCTCTAGTGTAAGATGAAACCAAGCACGGAAGATGCATATGTTCTGGTACAGCAGGGTCCTCCTATAAAGAAAAAGAGCATGTGCAGTAAGTTTCTGTTTCTGAAAGAGATTCCACAACCCCTCGCCCCCCCCCCCCCCNCCCCCCCCCCCCCCCCCCCCCCCCCCCCCCGGGAGGAAAAAACCAACCAGCAACAGAGGAGCTACAACATGCAGCAATATAGTGAGAGTAACTGAGTGTTGGTCACCTCTGACTAGGCTTTCCAACAGAAACTCCATGCGGAAGTTGCTCTAACTCCACAAGGGCAACCTCATCCGCCTACAAGCATGTCACTCCCCAGAAGCTCCAGCACTTCAAACGCTGTCTTCCAGTAGGGGTGGGCGGGGGTACAGATTTAAAGAGCCTCATCACAGCCTCATGCCTAGCTGCAGCTTAATGCGGCTGGGCCACGGCGTGGGAGGAGTGTGGCAAGAACTGAGACGCACAGCAGAGGCATGGGGATGACTCCACACTCAGCTGGAAAGAAGAAGAACTGTAGGACCTGATCCGTCTGCCTCTGCAGATTACCTCCTTTGCGCCCATGCACACAGTTCCAAGATATGATAAAAGACAACAATTCTGGGCTGGAGAGATGGCTCAGCTGTTAAAAGGACGGGCCACATTGGCCGCTCTTCCAAAGGACCTGGGTTCAGTTCCCAGCACCCACATGGCAGCTCACAACTGTCTGTAACTCCAGTTCCAAGGGATCTGACATCCTCACACAGACATTTGTGCAGGCAAAACCCAAATACACATTTTAAAAAATGACAATTTTTTTAAATTTTAAATATTGCTAAAATTTAAAAATCTGGCTAGGTGCAGTGGTGCATGCCTGTAATCCCAGCACTTGGGAGGCTAAGGCAGGAGGATCATGAGTTCAAGACCAAAAGGGGGGTGAGAAGCTGTAAAATCTGCTCCTAGGGCTGGAGAGATGGCTCAGAGGTTAAGAGCACTGACTGCTCTTCCAGAGGTCCTGAGTTCAATTCCCAGCAACAACATGGTGGCTCGCGCCATCTAGGGTGAGATCTGGTGCCCTCTTCTGGCATGCAAGCATACATGGAAGGAATATTGTGTACATAATAAATAAATAAATCTTTTAAAAAAAAATCTGCTCCTATAAGTAATGGAAGGGTACTAACGTCAGTTCATAATTCTCAAAGACATTCAAGGACCAGATGTAGCAAACAGGGGGTTATGGGTATACATATAAGAGCTACCAGAAAGCAAATGAAAACAGGTTATTAACCAGTAAACGGAAAGAGACCGTCTCACCAATGGCACAAACCACTATCAGCACTTCCAAACTCACAACACAGACACAGTTCTCTTTACACACAGATACAGAAGTATTCATCCTGATTTTACAGTCCAGGACATAAAGAGCAAGGTATGTTTTCCCAGTTGCTCACAAAAAGTAGCAGACAGTCTGGTTCCAGATTCCACATTTTTAGTGACCATTCTCCTATCTTTCTGCTAAGGGAAACCAAGGGAGAAAATACAGATTGCTAAACAAACCAGAACAGAAGGAATGGAGGCCAGCAGATCAAATAAGTTGGCAGACTTTTATAATTAAAAATGAGTAAGTACATGCATGTATTTTAACACATGGTGATAGACTTGCCAAGTACATGAGCCAAAACATGGGTCAACCAGCAATTGGAACCAGTTTAAAGGATCTACAAACAAGGGAACAGTTATGTAAACTATTAAAGATCCTCATGATAGAACGTTATATGATAATTTAAAAATGAATCTTTTGAGTAGCAAAAACACCAGATTGGGAAATGCTCACAAATAAACATTAAATGAAAAAGCAAGCACAACACTGTTCATACAATACAAGCCCAATCTTAGAAATGGCATTATATAGTTGTGAAATGATTTTAAAAGGGTGGTTGGAGATGTTCCTCAGTTATTTAAGAACGATTGCTGCCCTTGCACAGGACCTAACTTCGGTTCCCAGCACCCGCACGGGGCAGCTCGCAACCACTTCTAACTCCAGGTCCAGGGGATCCTGCACCTTCTTCTGGTGTCCATGGGCATACACACACAGGTTAAGAACTGCTGATAGATTCTCATGCAGCTCAGAGTGGCCCTAAACTCAGCAGTAGCCAAAGATGGTCTTGACCTCCTGATCTTGCCTTTACTTCCCAAGCCCTGCGATTTAGATATGTGCTACTATACCTGGTTTATCAAACTATTTTTTTTTAATATTTTACTTAAGTTCAGGTGCCTGCAAAAGCCAGAAGAGGAGGTCAGATCCTGTGGAGCTGGATTAAAGGCAGCTGTAAGCTAGCTGCCCAATATAGGTACTGGAGACTGAACTCAGATCCTCTGAAAAAACATGACACACTCTTAACCACTGAGCCATCTCTCCAGCCCCAGTTTTCCAATTTTTTAATAAAACAAAGACTAATAAAATGTTCTATTTCTGGAAAACATTTAATATGGGGGACCTATTTTCTTTAACAGGGCAGCAGAGAATAGGCAAATTATCTTTTTGGGTTTTCTTTTCTTTTTCTTTTGGAGATAAGGTCTCATGTAGCCCAGCTTGGCCTCACTCACTATACAGTCAAGGATGACTCTGAACTTTCCCACCTTCCAGTGCTGGGTCTACAGGCAAGCACCACCTTGCTGGGTTTAAGTTACCTTTTTCCAAATAATGAAATGGCATAAAGAAGTTAAGATAAAATATATTGAAGTTTTATTTCTATTATGATTTTAGAGGCTCTTCAATTCTGTAATCAGCTACTTGGCTATTAAACCAAGTAACTCCTAATATAATCTGTCCCTACTATGAATAAGTTTATCTCAATAGCTCAGCACCTCTATTGAGCATCAAGGCTCAACCTAAGCTGATGCCCCTTTCCAGCCCAGCTCCCAGGCTTCACCATGGCCTCTACCCATGTTAGACAGAATCAATCACCTCCTTTGTGATACTCACACACCAAAGATATTTCTATTACAGCACTTATTAGTCTGCATTATAATAATCTGTTTACATAAGGGTTTTTTTTGTTTTGTTTTTCGAGACAAGGTTTCTCTGTAGCTTTGGAGCCTGTCCTGGAACCAGCTCTTGTAGACCAGATGGGCCTCTAACTCACAGAGATCCGCCTGCCTCTACCTCCCAAGTGCTGCACCACCACTGCCTGCTCTATTTACATAACAGTAAAGCAGCAAGAGTGGCAGTTCCCTGGGGAGTCACAGTGTGTCTTTGCCACCTTTGCCTTCCACTGTAAATAAGGTGTCCAGCCCTGGGCTGTCAGGGTATGTACCCTCTTACAAGCTCCTCAATTGAGTTCTACACAAGTCAGTGTTTCAGAAGCACTGCCTCAACTGTAGAGCAGGCAGCCCAAGGTTCCCCATGTTCTAATAGGCTTACAGGTAATCCTTACGTTGTCAGTACTAGAGACTATGCTCTCAAATGCAAGAGACTAAAGCAGGAGTCAGTAAACTTTTATTTGTAGACCAGATTCACTTATTTGATCTTTTTGTAAACACAAACAGAACGAAGATGGTCAAGTTCATTCATTCACATAGCCAGTCTATCACCCAGTTTTTGCACAGCAAGGCAGAGCCAAGTAGCTGCAGAAAAGATATATGTGTAAATTATCTCACCTTCGGGGCAAAGCCCACAGATAACTGGCTTTCAGACAGGACTGATGTGGGATTCCCCTCTATATGCTGTAAATATCACTGATAAATAAAGGAAATGCTTTGGACCTATAGCAGAGCTATAGGGGAACAGAGCTAGGTGGGGAAAACTAAGCTGAATGCTGGGAGAAAGGAGGTGGAGTCAGAGAAGCCATGTAGCCCAGCCAGAGCCAGATGGAACTTTAGCCAGTAAGCCACAGCCATGTGGTGATATACAGATTAATAGAAATGAGTTAAATTAATATGTAAGAGTTAGCCAATAAGAAGCTAGAGCTAGTGGGCCAAGCAGTGATTTAATTAATATAGGTTCTGTGTGTTTTTTTTCAGAGCAAAGCAGCCAGGAACCAACAAGCAGCCCCCTCCTTATAACATAGGATCTCTCCACACAGCTGCCTTGAACTCCCAACATTTTTGCCCCAGCTCCCAAAGCTCTGCTTTACAGCCTTGTGCCACTACTGTCAGTCCTAAGGGCTTAAAGTTACATAGCTGCCTCTTGTAAATATGAATACATTTCTACAATAAATTAAAAAAAAAAGCATAAAAATTATTTTCTTCCCATTCTACTACCGCCTTTTCTGGGAAGAGAGCTGGAAAGCTCAGAAAACTATGCAAAGATTTCTCATTTCAATTCTTCCCTCTCATGGGTTAATCAAGCTCTCAATATGTAGTACAGGCTAGCCTGAAACTCATCATCCTCTGGTCTCCACTTCCCAATCATTCCTGGCTCTTATTTTAATTCTGACTTAAAAGTTTCATGTCTATAGTCATAGGATAACTAGGAATTTTATTCAGTCATTTCCAAAGGGCTAAGCAAGAGGATTTTTTAAATACAGTATCTGAAGGATCAAACACATTACTGTCCCTACAATTAATTAATACATACTAATGACTCAGTCTGCTTTCAAAATGCTACTGGAGGGCTGCAGAGATGGCTCAGAGGTTAAGATACACGGGCTGCTCTCCCAGAGGTCCTGAGTTCAATTCCCAGCAACCACATGGTGGATCACAACTATTTATAATGAGATCTGTTGCCCTCTTCTGATGTGCAAGCATGCAAACCAGCAGAACACTGTATACATAATAAAGAAAATAAATCTTAAAAAATGCTACTGGGCCGGGCAATGGTGGCGCACGCCTTTAATCCCAGCACACGGGAGGCAGAGGCAGGCGGATCTCTGTGAGTTCGAGACCAGCCTGGTCTACAGAGCTAGGGCCAGGACAGGCTCCAAAGCCACAGAGAAACCCTGTCTCGAAAAAAAAAAAATGCTACTGGAGGGCTGGAGAGATGGCTCAGAGGTTAAGCGCACTGACTGCTCCTCCAGAGGTCCTAAATTCAATTCCCAGCAACCACATGGTGGCTCACAGCCATC